GAATTTAAACTCGAAATCCCATCTGCATTTACATCTGTGGAAAACAACAGCTATACGCCGGAACGAGTGAATGTATGGGACGGAGGGGCGATGATCGGTTTCAAGCAAACAATGTCATACTTCCAAACTCAGGCACTTCAGAAGGGTGCCTAACGCTACAATATCTCTGCCAGCGCAATTGATGCAAAGTATTGAAAATCAGAAACTCGTAATACAAATCTGAACTGCTCGGCAGGACATACATACGAAAGCAGAAACTAAACACTCCAGCCACCTCGACATAACGTGCTCCTACAAATTATGCAAAAGAGGCACAGGAGGCAGATCCGAGAACCAAAAAGTATCAAACCATTAAACGTTCGGCCATCAACCGCTTTCCGCCTTCGAAGCCATATGGATATTCTTCGCAATAAAACCAATCACGTACAAGAAACAGCAGGGACTGAAACATTTTTATGCAATTTTTGCTTTCACTTAAATTTTGAAAAGTAATTTGCGCGGGGATGTATAGGTGCGGGTGTACATATGTATGTAGTGTAAGCGTTGGAACAAAAAACTCGCACGACGGGAATTTAAAAAGTAGGTTGAAAAAATAAAGGCGGGGGATGCCAAGTAATTCAAGATATGAGGCACAAACTGTTCGGGGAGAACAAAAAAAAATTAAAACCTTTGCTGAATTTACTTGTCCCTGACAGACGAAAATCCTTCGAAAGCAACCCAAACAGTAGCACATGCCAACAACGACCATCCACTGGATGGGCTAGTTCTCTTACTAATTGAAGGCTCCATACAAGCAAGCCGATGGCGAGTGTTTTGCCAGTCTACCGTAGAGTCGAATGAACGAGCCGTAGAGGCATTGGTGGCTCCACTGGCAGGAAAGCAACGGATTCTGCGCTGCGCCATACCAATACAAACTCGAACACTTCGCAATTCGTGAGGCACCCAGTTATGTGACCCCGTCTCGGTCGCGGATCTCGATAGTAAAGGTTCACTGCCCCCAAAAAACTTATGCCATTGACTCACAGCACATCTCCAACTGTCAGATGTCCTGGAAAAGTAAAAGACGCCTGCTCGCAGGTCTACTGAAAAGCTATATTTAGGGGACATGAGAGGCTTAGCACTTCCCTCGAACATGGAGGAAGAAACCAAGGAAAGAATGCCAGGACGTAGCTCTACTGTTACGGCGATGAGAAGGTTGCTTTCTTCCCGACCGAACAAAGACGCAGCCCGTCGAAATGACCAATGATCAAATTGGAAAAAAAAAACTACCTGAAATGGTTTTGACGTTATTTTTCCCATTACCATTTGACCGTATTTGGTAAAGAGCTGTAGGTGCTGTAAGTGGTCCTCCTGCATATTCTGACTCAGATTGTATATCTGCAAAGGTCGTTTTAGAACTGAACACCCTCTGTAAGGCGACTGCTTCAAGGTGGAAAAGCCCTTAACTGTACCGACGGCCAGAATGAGGATATGGTAACAGCAGTGGCACCTTATGTGTCATCAACGGTGAAAACAAGAAGCTGAAATTCTGCTCCCCTTGCCCGGCTTGCGAACATCTCCTCAAAAATCTTGTCACTTCTAGATCAGTGGGCGAGCAACTGGGAGACCTAACTGCATTTCAAACAGACTTCTTACACATGCAGTCATTCAGACATAAAATCAGCTGGCCTGACAACGCACTCTGTTGCTGAGCTTCCATAAAATGCCGTCCCAAGCACTTCATCGTTGCGTAGGAACAACAAAGCACTGAGCGCTGTTGGAGCACAAACGCTGATGGTTTCAAACACAATAAAATAATTGGCCAACGCACGGGCTGCCCGTGCGAAGATGCGTTTTTTGCAGAGTTCCCCGCA